TATATATATATATATATATAAAACAAATGGTTCAATAAATTTTATAAATTTTTTAGCTAATCACTTGCTTGTCTTAATCAAATCATTTTTATTTCTCTAATATTACAAATAATTGTTTTTTCATTCATATGAAATATAAAAGAAAGGTTAATTATATAAAAATATGAAATATTGTTTTCTACTTTTAAATTCAAAAATAATATTATATTACAATAAATATTGATATTATAATGTTACGAAAATACACGTCTAATGTTTTTTCATTATAATTTTGAATTTATAATACTTATAATATAATAAAATTTATAATACTTTTTACTTTTTTTTCTTTTTTTTTTCTCTCAAACTCTGGATGATTTTAGAATTAAAAATTAATTTTTTAACACTATAACATATGATAAATATGTATGTAATTATATGTATGTATGTATGTAATATTACTTAAATATAAAATGATACAAATAATTAAAGCATATAAATTGCTTTAAAATAACAAACATTTTTTAATTTGTTCTAAATTATTAAATTATGAATATATTGCTATGAAATATATTATATACATTACATGAAGATATATAATACTATATAAATAGAAACATCAAGTTAGTGTCAACTTGGCCGTGTGGAGCATTTTTGGTTAGTTTTATAAAGACAATGCATAGTTATACGTTTCGTGTAAAAAAATGAAATCGCTTTTATAATAAAGGTGCCATTATAAATTATGCGTGATATTGTTAGTGGTGATACATAAAAAAGGATAGAATGCATTTTTAGGATTAAATTATGAAATATTTTATTTCTACATGTAAAAGTTCACCAAAAATTGTTATTAAAAAAAAAAAGAAAATTGTTTTATGAAGAGACAAAAAAAAACTTGAACTAATAGAGTAAAATTAGTTGATTATGTTCTCTTCTTGGAATGCTAAAGAAAGTTACGATTAAATTAATGTGATATTTACAGGAAAATATTTAAGGTAAATACGTATATTTTTAAATTTGTATGTATATTTTCGTGCGATATTAAGTGATGTCCTGGATTCAGGTGGAACGAAAACATCCTAAATTGAAAAATAATACAATAAAATAATATTTGAATATATTGTTGTTGATATATAGCAAGCCTTCGCATCGTATCGTAGTACCACCCCTGTCATCTTCGTTCGAAATAAATAAACTAATATTTTGTATTTTGTATAAATATTTATTTTAAATGCGTGCGTGATACGCGCGCATATACACGCATAAAACGGCAGACGTGAATGGAATGAATAAGTGTTCCACAGGCACAAGTTGCCAAAATATTAATCAATTCTAATACATGATAATCTGATCCTGATTATAGATTTTTATATATGTTTATTTAAAAAAATATATATATATATTATATATAAATCTGTTGTGGTAATGTTGTTTCGAAATCGATTTCATATTTACTCCTCAGAAAATGAATGTTTCATCTTCTTCTTTTCCTTTTACCTTTATTATTTTTAATTTATATACTTTATATTATAAACTATTATTTAATAATTAATAATTATAATAAATAATACTTTATAAATACTTTTTTTAATATTAATATAAAAATGCGAAAAATTGGTATAAAACAAAAAAAAGAAATAGATAGGTGCGCACCCATACCATACCGTAGTTTCTCGATCGTCTATCTTCTTGTTTTATAACATAAAAAAGAAAGAATGACTAACAATATTTTTTTTAAAAATATTTTTAATTTTGATACCTAATTGCGGGGAGTTAACATTACCTTGAAACCTTAAAGCTTTTATGATCAAGTATATAAAAAAATCTAAATAGATATAGAATAATATGTAAAAATCTGTAATACTACATATATTTTATCAATTTTATTATTATATATTAATTTATACGACAACAAATAATTTAAAATTATTTATATATAATAAATTAAAATTAATAAAATTACAATATTTAGAAGAAAAGTATAGAAAAAACTAAATTATTGATATATTTCTTTCTTTTTTTCTTAATTTAAAGTCTCCTGTAGAAAAATATGAATTAAAATTTATTTTTATAAAAATATAATTTATATTATAAAAATTTTTTAAATAAAAGCCAAACATATCTAATTGAAAATCAGATATTTTAAAAAATCTTTAAATATAAAAAATCTAACAAGTAACACATTTAAAATAAGTATATTTTAAAANTAATATATAAAAAAATATAAAATATATAAAAATAATAAATAAATTATTAGTTTTTAAAAAGTAAAAAAAATAAAGAAAATAGAATGAAGAAGAAAAAAAAAAAGAAAGAATTTTTTTCTAATAAATTTCAATAATTTTTCTCAAACTTTGAAACTTTCTCAAAAAATTTTATCTTTATATGTATTCAAATTTTTATACATATATAGTACATTTTTTTTTAATATATAAAAGAATTATATTATATTGTAAATATTTTATAATCAAATAATAAGAAGTATTTTTATTTTGATAAATTTCTGATAAAGAAAATTCCAAATAAATAATGTATCTTCATGACATTCATTTCCACTAACTTGAAATAAATATAGAATTTCGCATTACAAATAATTAATTATTTTAACATTAATATAACAGTTGAAAGTGAAACAAAGTTCAAGAAAAACGAATTCTATAAAAAAAAATTTCTTTTACAAGTAACACGAGCTATGTGAAAAAAAAAAAAATACAATTAAAAATGAGACGAAACCTAATTTTCAGATTCGTAAAACTTGAATTCGAAACTAAGGTTTCAAAATATTCGAAATTTTCAGAACTCAAAATCTTTTTTCTCCTCCTCTTTTTTTCTTTTTAAAGATTTTGTCAAGAAATTTTAATTAATTTTAATTTTTGAAATTCTCCAAATACAAATTGGTAGTCAAATTAGTAATAAAAACTACTATCATTTTTTTTAATTTACAAAAGTTTCGATTTCTCTATAGAAACTATTGTAATGTAAAATCAATTAAAATAAATTAAACGTTTTAAACATTTAAGATTAGTATTGATTAAATAAAAATAAAATCATATTACATTCAATTCTTACAATCGCAAAATTAGCAAAAAATTTCGAAACTTTTGAATTTCAAAGAGTTTTAAAATTTCGAGTATCATATTTCTAAATATAATATCTAACATTGTGATATCTATATATCTGTATCTTTATATAATATATATGAATATTAATGTATAGAGATACATGGTATATAGATATTACAAAAAATAGAGAAAATCGGAATAAAATATATAAAAATGATACGTTTCTAGAAAACTAACCTTTTCGCGGAGGCGCGTATAGTATTGCGATTGCGCTCTCCGGATTCACGACAAAGCACCAGCCCTTTGATAAGGGTGCTCGCGAATCTGACCCAAGTGCCTACGTTGTTTCGCAGCGGCTGCTGCACCTGTCCCCAACATACAAATGTGTATAATTCATCTGCTTCCATATGCATATATCAATTTCCAGTCCTCGGCAGGTCACTTAACCGCCGCTATAAACAATAATAGTAAATTAAAATTATCCATAAGTTGATAATTAAAACGCAAACCAATACTTTTTTGTCATATATTTTCCATGTATTTTCTTTTTTTCTATTTAAATTTTATATTTCATATTTGCATGTGCGATATGATAAATCAAGAAATTTTCTTTGTCTTTTATCAGTTTGCGTTCAATCAAATTTTTAAATTCGAAATAGAAATATATATTTCATATCATATATATCATATTTGTATTATATTTCATACATGATATATCTGATATGTCCGATATATTAATTAATATAAAAGTGCCATAGTATAATATATATAAGTATATGTACATGTGTATTAATTATTAATAAATATTATTTTAACGTTTTGGTATGTATATTTAGAGTATTTTTATCATTCTAAAATTTTAATTTTTTTCATTAATTTATAAATAATTAATACTTTACACTTGTATATATAAAAAAAAACAAGCAGGAAAAATATATATTTAACAGTAAAACATTAATTATATTAAATTGTCGTTATTTTTTAACATTCGAAATTTATAGAATATTTATTAATATAATTATCTATTAATTTATTAATAATTATCTATTAATTAAACTTAGAATACTTAAACTACTAGCACGCATATATGTCTATTTGAAAATTGTTTAGAATGAATTATAGTTAATTATAAGTCATTTAATCACTAATTTCTTATAATATTTATAATACTTTTAATTTATCTTAATATTTATGAATTTGCAAAACCTGATGAATTTTTATATAAGAGTTCAGATAGATCAATATGACTTCTTTTAGAAATGAATTGATTATCGATCTTATACTTTGTTATTTAAATATGAAAATATCAATTTCATTGACACTTTAAAAATATATTTGTTTCATGTATAATCATCGTAAAAATAATATCAATGAAATATTAAATATGTGTATTACAAATTTTCATTTTTTTTTTCTTATTATCTATCGAATACATAATATATTAATACATAATAGTAATATAAGTGCATAAAAATATTTGGTCCCTAAAATATTGTTTTTATTGTTACTTTTTAAATCTATATGAAGTAAAAGTTTGTTAAAATAAAAAAGTTTAATAAAATAAATTTCTATATATTTTATATTTTATATTTAAATTGCATTTAATTATTATTGAAGTAATTCTAAAATAAAAATTTGTTTAAAATACATTTGAGACTTTTTAGTATTAAATATAAAATATTGTGACATATTAAAAAAACTTAATATCTTATTTCTTATTAATATTTAGTTTTCAAATTTTTTTTTTCATTTTTGAATCTGTGTAATTTTTATAAAAATATTGAAAATAAATTTTATTTTTTTAAAGAAAGAACAAATAATATAAAATATAATAAGACAATTTAAAAATATAACTAAAAATATAGTTTTGGTATAAAAAATTCAGAAAATATTTTCTAAAATATATAATCTTATTAATATAATACTATTGATGAATATGAACTATTTTTGGTTTTGATAAATTTTATATTTAATCAATTTTGAATTATTTTTTAAAAAAAAATTTTACTATAATATAAACCTAAAAAATTTATATTTTATGTGTTAATGTAATATTTTTTTTAAGCGATGATTAGTAAAAAAAAAAATCTATTGACATATAAAAAAGATTGATTTTCTTTTAAATGATATACATGTACATATCATAATTATTTTCTAAGTTTTGGTGATAGTCATTTATAACAATCATTTCCTCTATTGCTATAAAAAAATAGTGATTTATTTATAAATCACATTCAATTATTTTCAGAAAATAAATATGGATAAAGTAAAAATATATAAAAAAATATCTATTTTTAATTTCTAAGTGATAACTATTATTTATGCATAAAATACAATTTCTAGATTTAAATATATCTATTATATGTTTCTTTCTCAGGAGAAAGATATATACAAAATATTTTTGTATGATAATTCTCTATATTCAATATATGACAAGAATTGAGCGCAATTTATTCATTTCAATTTAATTTTCTTAATTCTTAAATAATTTATTTTTATTTTATACACACCTAATGTATGCTTTAGCTCCAATACATATATTGAATTTTTCAAAAACATTGTAATCATATATTTGAAAAATATTTATTTACATAATTTATGATTTCAATATAGTTTTCAATATGATTTAAAAAGATAAAAAATAAAATAACGAAAACTAATAAAAACGAAATAAATAGATAATATAATATATTTTTATACATATAATTAAAAATATTTAATATATCTAATTATATAATTTTTATAGAAAACAATTATTCACATAGAATAAAAGAACTAGAAATATAGATGTGCATTTGTAAATTATGTATCAAACTATTGTACACTAAATTTTACATAAATTTAATAAGCGTACATTTAATGTTTATTTATTTTTTATAGTATAAAATTTTAATAAATAATAATAATATCATATATAAATATAAGAAATGGCCTTAAGATATTTTCATTTTTCAAATGCGATATAACTTTTAAATTTATTTATATCTTGTGAAAGGCCTTAAAATACTTTAGAACTGAAAATAAACAAATTTCTCGCATCAATGAGAATGAGTAAAATAGATATAATAAACATTTAAAAATATAATTCCACAATGAATAACAGTTAAATTTATAATATTTCAAAATTTGCAATAATAAATAAAATATATTAAATTACATTTTATGTTAATGAAATTTATAATATTAATAAAATTTATAATTGACTTATTGCATTTATAAAAATTAAATTCATTTGTATAATATATCATATTAATTAAATAAAAAAACTGAAAATATAGAAAGAAAAGAGATATATTTAATGTTTTCTTTGACGAGAAATTAGTTTATTTCTTTTCTTATTCCTAATTCCTATTCTTTAAATTATATTAATATCAATAATTTTATTAAAATTATAATAATAAATAATATTTGATTATTTCATTAAATATTCATTATATAATATATATTTATACATATATTTATATATATAAATATATAATCAATATGGCAATGCACCACAGAATCGAACATACAGATGTATTGACATGTGCACATTCGTTCTTTTATATCCTTTTAAATAATACAAATAAAATATGTTGCATGTCATAAGATTTGATATATTTAAAAAATAAAACTCTCTTTTAATAATGTGAAATATAAAAACATTAATATTTACATATTAAACATAAATATATATAAATATTCTATATCCAAAATTAAATTATTTATATCTAATTTTTCGATCGATGTTTTAGAAGTTTTTTTTTTCTAAAAAAAATTCATATAAAACCGACTCTTTTTTTTATATTCATAATTCCAAAATTTAACTTATTATTTTATATGAGCAATATATATCATCAATCATAATTTTTAAATTACATTTGAATTTATTTATATTATTTCGATCTATTTAATTAAAATAGATATAATAATTAATATTTTATTTTACGAATAATACGAATATTTTATATATCAGGAATTTTTTTAAATAAAATATCAAAGTTTTATTGAATTTTTGATTATAAATTCTTTTATATTCTTTTATATAATATATGAGCATATTATAATATTTAAATGCAATAAGAAAATGATAATAGATATAAGAATATAAATAAAATATATAAAAATTATAAATAAAAAACAAATAATATAATAAAAAATTGTGTAATGAATATAAAATAATATAAAAAATACAATTTTACGAAAAATAAATTTCAATCAATCTAATCTTTAATAAATAATTTAATTTTGATAATTATTTGTTCATGTACGTATTTATATAGAGAAAATTATTATTATTTTCAATTATAGTAAGATTTATAATTGAATAGTATTATAATTGAGAGTATTTTATTTTTCAAACATATCATACCTATTGAACACATTGATGATTTACACTATGTATAATAAATGGTAACGAATGTATGAGTGTAATTTGTCATACGATAATCGAGTATTTTATTGACAAAGAGAAGATTCGTCTTCATTTTTTAATCGATACGATTATGCGTAACTATGTATATACATATATGCGAATCGATTTCTTATATTAATCGCGTAAGAATTTGAATACTGTACGTATTAAAATCTTGTTTTAAACAATTAATGAAATTCGAGTATATAAAACAAAAGTGTTAAAATATCTTAAAAAATCTCAAGAGAACATCATTTTAAAACCACATATCATGTAATAAATTTTGAATAAAAATGTGATTAAACTTTTTTAAATCATAATATGATTTTAATAAATTTGTAATTATATAAATAGAATTTATAATTCTATTAAATAATATAGAAACTTTAACAATAAAAATTTAACAATATACAACCTTTAAGGAAATAATTCTTTTACCATTGAGAGTAAAAGAAAAAACAGTCATATACCGGATATAAATAAGTAACATTGTTACTCAAAATATAAAAGAACATAAATTATTTATAATTTTACGAAATTATTCCAAAAATTATTTTAATATTTGGAAAAAATAATCTAAAAATTAAATAAGAGACTTTTTCTTGTCAAAATCAATATTTTTTTGTTTTGTATAAATACGCGATATGATACAAAAATTTATATTACACATTTAGTACTTTAGTATCTAGCAATTATTATAATCCCTTTTTTGGAACTCCACGACTTTCTCGTTACGATATGCATATTATATCAAATATTTCTACTAGCTGCTGTTTCAGAAATGCGAATTGTAATATTATTGAATAATTAACCATTGTTAAATAATTATCAAAACTGATACGACTAGCAAATGACTGATGTGAATTTCTTAATATAAACCTTCAATAATATAATAAAATAATACTATTATCCTATTATCTGAAATAATATCAAATTTTTAATTTTTTTACTAACTAATGAATTCTGATATTAAAATCATCATGATTTCCATGCCAATCAGAATAATAATCACAAATTTAATGTAATAATATCAAAAACAATAATAACATTAATAAAAGATTATACCAATAATAATAAAAAGATAATATGTAATGATAATAGAATTCTATAATAATAATGATAATATTAATTATAAATAATAATAATATCAATAATTATAATGATAATCGCCTTTAAGTGCGATAAAATAATTTACGATATAACTTTTTTACGATATATACAAAAAAATACATATAAACACATATGTAAAAATGTATTTTTTTGTTTATTAATGGAGAATCCTTTTATTATTTTTATTTTCAAAAAAAATATGTATGTATTTATATATATATGCTAACATTATTATACAGAGTAACCATTATTATGCTTTTAACTTCTAAAAAATTTTTTTAAGAAAGTTTTCACAATATCCTTTATTCGTAACATTGAATTCTAATAAATTTAAAAGATTAATATTTTAACATTAATAAAGTATTATGTAATTGTTTATATAAAAATTAAGAATAAAAATTGTAAAAATATATAATTTTATAATAAATATCTCAAATATTTAATAAGTTTGTTTTTATATAAATAAATATTTAATTTTTTAAATATATACAATATATTGAAAAATATAATTTAATTTTCAATTTGATATTTGATATTATTTATTACTATTTAACTTTTCAATTATTTATTTAGATCAATAGAAGATTTAAAATTGAGTAGGATACTCTGTATACAAAATCATACCATCATATGGAATTAAATATAAAATAAAATTTTAACAACAATTTTTTTTTTGTAAAGTATATAAATGTAGAATTACTTAAATATATTTAAAGAAAACAGAAAAAAGACGATT